CCTTTCACAGAACAGGACATTGTGTATGTAACACCGAACATTAATATCGTGTCAAGCATCAGGAGCTGCCATGTTTTCGTTTGGGCGGTCTGATTGGCCCCGAAAGTGACGTCACACTTTGACTGCGCAGTGGGTATCCACGGCGTGAGCATACCCTTATCCTTATACCATGGTTTTATCATCGACATCTAGAATGGACCGCTGATGGCAATGGTGGGGGTAGAAAGACGATTAGAGTGAGAGGCAGGAATAATAAAATCGTTCTTATTCTGTTTACTGAAGCCTGATTGGTTGTTGTTAATCCAACAACCAATCAGGCTAGTTAGAAACACAGTAAACAGAGAAAGAACGATCTTATTATTCCTGCCTCTCACTCTAATCGTCTTTCTACCCCCATCATTGCCATCAACGGTCCATTCTAGATGTCGATGGGTTTTACATTTGGTTTATACATTGCGTGCATTCGTTTATGCAGCTTAAGTCAGTATGACAAAGGTGCTAAGGAGAGTACTAAACATGGCCGACATACTATGAAACTGTCTTTAAACTAGTCAAACAAGATAAGACGCGTAGGATAATGTGACTTATAGCGTTTTCGGCCCGACCGGGTTTGCACCAACCTGGGTTGGATTAATGGCGTTTTGCGCTCTCCTATTGGTAGAGCGTGTGACATCAACCAATAAGAAAGATTAATCCAACCCAGGTTGGTGCAAACCCGATCGGGCAGAAAACGCTAATAGAATGTATAGGATAAAATGAAATAGAAATATGTCACTAGTACTATAAATGGCTGCCAAGTCACACAATTGGTTAGATTGCAACAGCGAATCAGAATGCATAACACCGGTTGCGCCTCTCTTAGGCTGGGTACCTATGAGGTGTATTTACCGCGTATCGCGTAACCGCGTAACCAATCAGAAGCGATCCGCTGTTGTGATTTTGTGTTTTACTGATTATTGATTGGTTACGCAGTTACGCAATACGCGGCAAATACGCTTCATGGGACTCCACCCTTACATCTAGGGCCGGTCCACTTGCTTCCAAATGCTCTGGGACTCTATTCTTGAAAAGAAACGTATACGAAGTCTAGGGAAATACTATAGTATACGTAACGTATACTGTAGCACTTCCCTAGACTTTCGTATACGTTTCTTTTCAAGAATAGAGCCCTTGAACGTTACGCTCCAAACGCTACGCTCCGATTGGTCCATTACTATTTCGAATGCTACAATTCTACGTGAACGCTCCAGCCAACCCACCTCGCGAGGTGAGGCAGTTGAAGCGAAGTGGGAGCAAAAACGATGACGTATTAATGACGTAATCAGAGTTGCTGGGAGCGTTCCGAAACATTAAATGGACCAGTTATATCAGTGCTACAAATGCTGTGTGGCACCCAGTTGGACACGGCTTAATTGGACACGAGCCACTCACAGCGCATGAAACTACAAAGCTCCTAAGCACCGGTCGTTGTGATTGGTGGTGTCCAATCGAGCCGTGGTCAATCGGGATCATTCCCAAATGCTCTGTAGCATTTGAAGCGCTAAATGGACCGCAGCCTAGGATTCTACGTTCAGCAGACTCAGCAGTTTTGCAACCGTTTTATGATTCGTCACGCTGATTGGATCATACTTTTAGATTTAAAGGAATAGTCCTATCACAGCGAAGAATCACAAAACGGTTGCAAAACTGCTGAGTCTGCTGAACGCAGCCAAAGATTAAAGACCGTTCTACAATAAGTTGCAAACACCCCGTTGCCAGTCGCAAAGGTTGGCAACAACTAGTTGCAAAGTGCTATTTCCGGTTGCAATAGATAATCGCGGTTACCAAAGGAGAGTTGCCCAACTTTTAATTCCTTGGCAACTGTCTACCGCAACATCTTAACCAATCAAATATTGTCTTCGAAAAGCGCAAAGAGTGAAATGAAAGTTGTTGTGATATATCGGTGGTGTTTGATTTATTTCATTTTCATTTCGAGAATATCTCGAATATCTATCACATAACCTGCTTGATTTATTCACTTCGATTTTTCGGCTACAGCAAATAACGACGGAAGTTGTACTTTCTGATTGGCTGTTTCTATACAAATCGCAACTTTCAACATCCAAATGTGGATTAGGTGTTGCAATGATTTACAACTTGTGACTCGCAACTTGTCCGCAACTGGCAACGGGGTGTTTGCTTGTTGTAGAACGGCCTTTAGATCCAATGAGGAACTAAGGACAAGACCAATCATCAGTGTTGCCAGATGATCCGCATGAATATCTCCTAAATTAATTTTGTTTCCCCCAAAAAATCCTCTAAACTGTCCACCAAAATCCCCCAAAATCCCCTAAATGTCCAAAACAGCACTCTCTTGATCATAATTAACGTTTCAGGAGGTCGATTCTGAGGTGAAAATGACAAAAATAAGCGAATTTACAATTACACCATCGATATTGAATGCTTCAAATTCAACGGGGTGATCCCGATTGATCACGGCTCGATTGGACACCACCAATCACAGCGACCGGTGCTTAGGAGCTTTGTAGTCTCAAGCGCTGTGAGTGGCTCGTGTCTAATTGAGCCGTGTCCAACTGGGTGCCACCCGAAAATCGTGACTGCAATTGATCAGCCGCTATTTTGGCTGGGTCAGATGCTTGAGCGAATCAGAAGCTTTCAGATGCTCATGCGCACTTAGGGCCATTCCACACAAACCTGCAGAGCCACATAACCATATGCATAAAGAAAATTATCCAATCACATTTCTGTCATAAAGCCAAGCGTAAACTACGATTGGATGATTTTCTTTATGCATATGTTTATGCGGCTATGCAAGTTGGTGTGGAATGGTCCTTAAGCGGGGAGCACAGACTCTTGCATAACGCATAACACATAGGCCC